TACATTAACACTGCACTGAGAGAGAGGGGTTCATACAGTACAGACACACTGACTGGACACTACAGTACATTGGGCAGTGAAGTGGACGAGTGGACAGAGCAGAGGAAGTGTCACACAGAGGAAATGAGTCCTGGTATCACTTACCTCTGGGGTCTGCTTCTGGATCAGAGCTCACAGGATTCCTGAGGAGACAGAACAGCTGGAGTTAAACTCACTGTCAATACTGAACCCTATGTGACTGGATGCACAGAGAGGAATCTGCTGCCTGTTCACATGGTCTGTTTTTCAGCACTGTGAAACAATCAGAGATAATCAACAGTCCTGTTACTCTTATCCATCTGTGTGAAAGAACAAGCTGTTCCAGGTCATTTTTAAGCACTTGGATGTCACCTGTCGCCACAGAAAGAAACTTCCTCTCTCATGTCAGAAGCACCAGTCCAGACCTCTGCTTGCTGTGGAAGTTGAACCCTGTGGTTCAGCAGATAAAGCAAACATTGACAAATATCTGTCAAAACCAGATACCCAGAGGACAGAAAGCTCAGTTAGAGGGAACTGAACGTCATTAGAGCTAGAATTAACATATAGCCAGTAGGTGGCTAGGTCAGCATGTGCAGAAAAAGAAAAGAAAAGAAGCACAATGTTTTGGTTGTGGAGCCTTCTTCAGGTGTGACACCTTTCTTTTCAATATGGAATAAACTTTTACTTGTTCTTTAACATACAGTATATCAGTCAGCCAGAATCTCTGTAAGGGAAATTATCTGTATACTGCAAGTCTGTAAGTGACGTAACAACTCAGACTCTATTATATGGAGTCCTGAAGGTTTCAATAAAATAAAATAAAACAATAAAACTATTTGCATTCACAAATTTCTCATACTCGCGGTACATCTACCTTAGTTTCCAACCTGCCTTTTACTAACAGTTCATTTCTCTTTAAAGTTTTCACATGTTTAAATGTAATGTGGAAGAGTGCATTGCATACAGGAAGCATAAAAAACTCTCTCTCATCCTAGCATTAATCCCACATCAGCAGGGTCCACTTGTCGGCACGCCCGTCTCCATTTGGTGGTTTGAACCAAATTTTTGAGCTGACGTTGTCATTAAATGTGACCGAGAATACTCCATACTGCCGTCGGGGGGGGGGAGGAGAACAAAGTAATGTAGCCAATTCATAGAGGGGGATTATTAGGAGGCATGGGAAATTTGGCCAGGACACCAGGGTTACACCCCTACTCTTTTCGAGAAACACCCAGGGATTCTTAATGACCACAGAGAGTCAGGACCTCGGTTTTACATCTCATCTAAAAGACAGCACTCGTTTTTTACAGTATAGTGTCCCCATCACTATACTGGGGCATTAGGACCCACATAGACCGCAGGGTGAGCACCCCCTGCTGGCCCCACTAACACCTCTTCCAGCAGCAACCTTAGTTTTTCCCAGGAGGTCTCCCATCCAGGTACTGACCAGGCTCACACCTGCTTAACTTCAGTGGGTTGCCAGTTGTGAGTTGCAGGGTGACATGGCTACCGGCTAGGAAGCATAAAAAAACTAGAAATAGAAAATGGGATTAACACAGTTAGTTAATTGGCCATTTTTACAGGTTTGTGTTATAATGCTACCTTTCACTACCTCGCAGGTCAAAAAAGAGTTAGTAAAGTAACTTGCAGATTATGTTAAAAGAGAAGGAACTGCAAACAAAATTCAAAATGAAATACAGTGCAACTCTGATATATTAATGTTGCTGATGAAATAGGTAAAAAAAACATCATATAGCAGAATTATGGAAATAATTTTGTTTCAGCTTCAACAACATGGCTGGACAGCTTGATCCCAGCTCCCAACACCCTCTGTGTCAAGAGTCTCCTGTTTACAGTTTTAAATGCACTTCCATTCAGATTCGCACTTGTGTTCACTTCTTTGTGTTCATTCTGAAGAATTCAGCTGGATTGACTTTGACAGTGTCCTTGAAGATTTTGAAAGCTTGTATCAGGTCCCATTCTAGTCTTCTTTGATCAAGACTAAAGAGACTCAGTTCCCTCACCCTGTCAGTGTGGGACACTCCCTTCAGACTAAAGAGACTCAGTTCCTTCAGCCTGTGAGAGTGGGACACTCCCTTCAGACTTCATTTGGAATGTAGGCTGAGTGGACCTGGGAGCTGTCTGAAAGGAACTAGAGCAAGCTCCATCACTTGCCCTTACCTGGGATTGAGCTCAAGACCTTCCAGTCAAGAACTAGATTCCCTTGCCATCTGAGCTACCACAACTCAGAGAAGTTGAAATACAATTAGGTATTTATTTACACAATGGAGTATTTATTTGTATAGTGGTATATTTACATAGTGGTTGGGTATTTATATAAAGGTGTATTTCCAGGATGGTGAAGTATGTATTTCCACAATGGTGGGGTATTGATTTACACAGTAGTGGGATAATTATGTGCACAAGGTGGTGTATTGATTTACACATTGTAATATTTACACAGTAGTGAGGTATATACACAGTGGTGGGGTAGTTATGTACACATTAGACTATTGATTTACACAGTGTGGGGGTATTAACTGTAGCAGCTGGAGTGATCCATTGTTCAGTCCAGGGTGTGGATCCATGGGTTTCTGGGTGGAAGTTCAGAGCCCAGAATGCTCCCAGCTGCTGTGAGCCCTGGTGTGGAATCTGTAGCTGTGAGGTGACCCTGTTCAACAGCAGCCCTGATTAAACCTGGGCTCAGGCTGTAATGACACAGACAGCTCCTGTCTGGCAAAACATTTCAATAAGGGAAGAATAAGGGAACAGAGTGACTGGAAATGTGTGGATTCAGAGTCGGTGTTCTTACCTTTCTGTCTCGTGCCCCAGCAGCAGGAAACAATCACTGCAATAAACACTACAACCAGGAATGCAATTACACCTATCGCCCATGATGGGAGGTCTTTCCCTGAAACAGTCAGAGACAAGTAAAGATTTAATAAGGACTGAACACTCCAGTACATTGAACACTGCACTGAGAGAGAGGGGTTAATGCAGTACAGACACACTGACTGGACACTACAGTACATTAACACTGCACTGAGAGAGAGGGGTTAATACAGTCCAGACACACTGACTGGACACTCCAGTACAT